TAAAGTTATCGTCATTGAAAAGTACAGTGCTTTTCCTTCAAAAATAAGGACACTTCAATGTGACCCCAAACTTCCTCAAAGTACAGTATTTTGCTATCATAGCCAGTAAATGCATTAGCTTCTGTCATTTTTATCTATAATAACCTTGGTGGTTTTCTTGTTGTATTATTTGTTCTTACTTTGTGACTTTTTTGATGTGCGTCTGTCATTTAAAACCCCTGAAATGTGCCTTGTCATTTCAACATAAGATATTAGTTAGTTTAAAGGGCATACATGTTTTCGCAGTCCAGTTAAATCACCTCTAGCCTTTTTCACTTTTTCAGAAATGTCTTACTTTGTTGTGGGTTTCTTGTGAAACCTGATATTAGATTATCATAGTGTTTATGTCTTAAAAGAATACAGATGAGACCAGAAGGACACAGAAATATAAAGTATTATTGATTCTAGTTATAAAGTGACTAGTCAAATGTTTGGGGTGAGGTGCAAATAATTTATCACAAATAAGTAAGAATTTAAGTTGGCTTTGAAAGCATAAAAGTTACAAATATTCTTTGTATGTGAGTACTCACGATGGTACATAGATAGGAGCTTTAGGTGCTGTAAGTGGATCTGTGCAGGCTTCGTGTCAGCACCCCAGACTGTACAGTATTGTACTATAATGAGGGTTGTCCAGAGCAGACTCTCTCACACACATTCCAGCCAGAAGGACCCTTCTCCTCTCGTGCCAATTTAATCCAACTGCGGACAGCTATACACAGCCAAGAACGCAGCACGTGACTATAAATACCAACACACCTACATACGCATACATGCTCATTGTACCTACACATTTTGTTAATTAACATAAAAGAGTGATTTAAAGTTGGTAATGTCAACTCCAACCAACTAATCATTGGCAACACATCAAAGACATTTAAAAACCAGTAATGAAACCTTTTTTTCTCATAAAAACAAGGCTTCTTTTCTTTTTATTGTAATTACACAGTCAGAAGTACAGAGCAACTAAATTAACTGTCTGCATTTAACCCTTGGGGAGCAGTGGGCTGCCATTGTGCGACACCCAGGGAGCAGTGTAGGGTTAATAGTCTTTTGCTCAGGGAACTTAGAACCTCTGGATTCGTAGCACAATGCCCTGACCAGTAGGCCACCACTCCCCCAACTCCTGTACCTAGGATAATGCACAGAATTCCACATGATTCTTAACCTAGTAAACTAGCCCCACCTGCCAGCGGCCAAAATTATTTTTGCCTGTGAGTTTGGACTAGCATCGATCATTGCCCCAGGTCCTAGAACTGGCAGGCCAATCTGGATGCAAATCGTGCGGGGTTTTGAGGGCGTGACAACAAAGCTGTGAGATGCTGGAGAAAGCACAACAAGGAAGATGGTAACAACTATTGAACAGTAGCCATTGCAGCAGCTTTTAATGGGGCACTCCATTGAAAGTTAAAAGTTCTCTTTTCTGTTGCTGTTGTTCAATAAAAGTATGTTTTAAGATCATTTGTGGCGAGAATATTATATTTTAAAGCGTCATTATATGGTCCATCTACCGATTTAATGTGTAATTAAAAAAAAACAATTTCCGAAGTTGAGAGGACCACGGCAACCAGCGGAGCTCCGAGGCTAACTGCAGCCAGGGATAACTGTAGCCCGTCTGCAGCGACCCTCCCTCAGCATAGTCGTGTGTGAAGTACCGCTGGCTCGGATGACAATTTTTGACTCAGGTTTGGAATCAGTTTTGGAAGAATTAGACTTTGGGCTTTCATTGAAACATGAGCTCTATGAGGGTAGAGCCTTTTTACCGACAGGCTGTTTGTTTACACTCCCCCACCAGGTTTCTGTCGCCCTTCCAAGTCAAAGTCAGTTGCGCTCATTCTTCAGAGCGTTGGCCAATAGGCACAGATATGGTTTGAAATGTTCTCATCATCAATTTTCTGATGTCTCATTTATAGGGGCCAGACTAAATTACACATGTAATCTCACATTTAGTCCGGTTTATCATGCTTCATAATTGTATCTTGCAGTTCAACACACTTGGTATTAGTCAGTCAGACCTACCGACACAACATCATTAGAGCTGTGACGTACCCTTTATGGCCCAGGCTCTGAGGGGGCTGTTTTCATCGATAATGTGGTAGAACGTTAGAGGTATGATGAGGAAGGGGCTGTCGCTGGATGTGTCCACCTGGAAAGGCACATTACGCTGATCCAGCCGCACCGTTTCACCCTCCTTGGTCAGAGAGGTTTGAAGCAACTTCCCTGTCACCTGGGGAAGTAAAGTCATTCTTTAGAGTCAAATTTTCACATAAATACGGGAGCTTTCTGCACCTCTACCTTAATTTTCAGCAGGTTGTGAGAGGATATGTTTTCTTTACATAAAGTTTCTCACTACAAAGTTTGTCTTGCACAATCCTTTTAGTCCAACCCAGGGAATCCAATCCAAGTCAGACACAAACATCTGTTTTTTTATTCATCACAATGAGCTTATCTCAATGAGGCTCTATATCTAAAATAAGCTGCCCCTGCTAGCACTAATCACCAGTTACATCCAAAATTAATATAACACTTGGCGTAGATCACCTACCATTCTAACTGAATGATAATGTTTTGATAGAGTCATAGTACCAAAAATTGTATTGGATTTACTCTCGGGCTGGAATAAATAATCAGATTAATTGTGATTAATCATTTATAGAAATAATTGTCAACTGATTTGATTCAATTGTTGTGGAATATAGAGACTGTAAATATGACTTAGAGCAGTAATAAAATCAAAATTGTAAAAAAAAAAAATATATATAAATATATATATATATATAT